TAAATCAAAACTTAGCTGGGTGTGGTAGCACATGCCTGTAGTACCAGCTACTTGGAAGGCTGAGGTGGAAGGATTACCTGAGCCCAGCAGGTCAAGGCTGCAGTGGCTGTGAGCATGCTACTGCACTCCAGTCTGGGCAACAGAGTGAGACTGATTCAAAAGTAAGTAAGTAAGTAAATAAACAAAACAACACAAAACAACATAAAAATGGGCTGGGTGCGTTGGCCCAGCCTGTAATCCCTGCACTTTGGGAGGCCAAGGTGAGAGAATTGCCTGAGCCCAGGGGTTCGAGACCAGCCTGGGCAACTTGGTGAGACCTCATCTTTACAATAAACCAAAAAATTAGCCAGGCATGGTGGCAGGTGCCTGTAGTCCCAGCTACTTGGAAGGGTGAGGCAGAAGGATCACCTAAGCCCAGCAGGTCGAGGCTGCAGTGGCCATGAACGTGCCACTGCACTCCAGCCTAGGCAACAAGAGTGAGACTCCAACTAAAAAATAAATAAATAAATAAAATAAAAATTAAAAAAAGGAGGAATAATATTTTCTAGCCGGGCATGGTGGTATATATCTGTAGTTAAAGCTACTTGGAGGGCTGAGGCAGAAGGATCACCTGAACCCAGCAGGTTGAGACTGTGGTGACTGTGAGCATGACAATGTACTCCAGCCTGGGTAACAGAGTGAGACTCCAACTCAGAAAAAAATAGCCGGTTTCGGTGGCTTAGCCTGTAATCCCAGCACTTTTTTGAGTGGATTGCCTGAGCCCGTAGGTTCGATACCCACCCAGGTAACCTGGTGAGACCTCATCTCTACAACAAAAATAAAAAATTAGCCGGGCAGAGTAGTGCGTGCACCTGTAGTTCCAGCTACTTGGAAGGCTGAGGCAGGAAGATCGTCTGAGCCCAGTAGGTTGAGGCTGCAGTGGCCGGGAGTGTGCCACTGCACTCCAGTCTGGGTAACAGAGTGAGACTCTAACTCAAAAATAATAATTATTACTATTATTTAAAAAAACATATATTGAGTACCTACAATGTGAGGCATTGGGCATGTGCACTTGGTCCTTGTTTTCATGGATAGGTCAAGGGCAAAGAGAGACAACTGACAATCAAAAATCGTAAAAAGTACTGAAAGGAAAATAAACTGGATGAGGAAATAAAACTAAATTTAAATATCTAACGTGTTTAGACAATGTATTTGAGGCTTTTAGCAAAAGTCTAACTAAAGAGGTGATATTTATACTGAGAGCTGAAAGATGAGAAAAAGAAAAAGCTAAGAAAGAGCATTCCAAGCAGAACAAACAGCTTGTGTGAAGTCCTTGACATGGAAAAACACTTGATATAATCAAGGAACTGAAAGAAGGCTGAGTCTGGGTATGGTGGCTCCAGACTGTAATCCTAGCACTTTGGGAGGCGGAGACAAGAGGACTGCCTGAGAACAGCGGTTCTAGACCAGCTTGGGCAACTTGGCGAGACCACATCTCGACAATATATCAAAAAATAAGTCAGGCATGGTGGTGCATGCTTGTAGTTCCAGCTACTTGGAAGGCTGAGGTGGAGGGATCACCTGAGCCCAGCAGGTCAAGACTGCAGTGACCGCAAGTGTGCCACTGTACTCCAGTCTGAGCAAGAGAGTGAGACTCCAACTCAAAAAAAAAAAAAGAAAGAAGGAAGACAAGCTGATGTTGCTGGAGCTAGAGGAGCAAAGTGGAGACTAGCAATAAAAAAGATGGATAGGAAGTGAGGGGCTATATTGATCATGGTCTTGTAGAGAGTTGTATTTTATTCTAAGTACAATTGGAAGTTACTCATGAGTTTCTGTTATTGTTGTTGTTTTGTTTTTGAGTTGGAGTCTCACTCTTGTCACCCAGGCTGGAGTGCAGTGGCACACTCATGGTCACTGCAGCCTCGACCTGCTGGGCTAGGCAATCCATCTGCCTCAGTCTTCCAAGTAGCTGGATCTATAGCCGCTCACCACCATGTCCAGCTAATTTTTAAATTTTATTGTAGAGATAAGGTGTCATCATATTGCCCAGGGTGGTCTCAAACCTGTGGGCTCAGGCAATCCTCTTGCCTTAGCCTCCCAAATTGTTAGTAATGCAGGCATGGCTTGTTTTTTGTTTTTTTTTGTAGAGAGGAGGTCTTGCTTGTTACCTAGACTGGTCTCGAACTCCTGGACTCAAGCAATTCTCCTGCCTCGGCCTCCAAAGTGCTGGGATTACAGGTGTGAGTCACTGCACACAGCCTAAAATGCAATTGTATAAGGAATATTTTGGGGATAATTGGCAAATTTGAATATGGAATGTATATGATAGTATTGAATCAAGGTTAAATTTTCTGAATTTTATAATCAGAATATGATTATGTAATAATGGTAGTCCTTGATCTTAGTAGATATGCGCCAAAGTATTTTGAGATGTGTGAAATTGACCAGGCGCAGTGGCTAACACCTGTAATTCCAGCACTTTGGGAGGTGGAGGTGAGAGGACAGTCTGAATCCAGGGATTCGAGACCAGCCTGGACAACTAGGTGAGACCTTGTCTCTACAATAAATAAAAAAATTAGCTGGGCATGATAGCACACACCTGTAGTTCCAGCTACTTAGAAGGCTGAGGCAGAAGGATCACCTGAGCCCAGTAGGTGAAGGCTGAGGTGGTCATGAGTGTTTCACTGCCCTCCAGCCTGGGCAACAGAGTGAGACTCCTAATAAAAAAAAAAAAGTGTGAAATTGGTTTTCAAATGGCTTTACAAAATAGTAAGTACATAAAGATAACACCAATGTGACAAAACACTAACACTAAGTGAACCTGGGTTAAGTGGATATGGGTATTCATTATATTACTCTTGCGACGTTTCTGTGTTTAAAATTTTAATAATTTTTTTTTTTTTGAGTTGGAGTCTCACTCTGTCGCCCAGACTGGAGTGCAGTGGCTGCTCCTGGCCACCACAGGCTTGACCTGCTGGGCTCCGGCAATCCTTCCACCTCAGCCTTCCAAGTAGCTGGAACTACAGGCGCGCGCTACCACGCCCGGATAATTTTTGATTTATCGTAGAGATGAGGTCTTGTCAAGTTGCCCAGGTGGGTCTCGAACCCACGGGCTCAGGTAATCCACTTACCTCGGCCTCCCAAAGCACAAGGATTACAGGCTGAGCCACCGAGCCCGGCCGTGACATTTTCTAAATCAAGAATCTCTAATAAGCTGAAAACTAAAATGCTTAATATAAAGGAATAAAGGAGAAACTTTTGATTATCTTGGGTGAGTTTCTAGAAGTCCATTTTCCTCTGCCTGATGTAAATGTTAAAAAGAAAGAGCAAGCTGGGCTCGGTGGCTCAGCCTGTAATCCCAAGCTTTGGAAGGCTGAGGTGAGTGGATTGTCTAAGCCCGCGGATTCGAGATCCACCTGGGCAACTTGGTGAGACCTCATCTCTACGATAAATCAAAAAACTAGCCGGGCGTGGTAGCTCGCGCCTGTAGTTCCAGCTACTCGGAAGGCTGAGGTGAAGGATCGCCAGAGCCCAGCAGGTCAAGGTTGCAGTGGCCGGGAGCGGCCACTGCACTCTAGTCTGGGCGACAGTGAGACTCCAACTCAA